GGAAAATAAGTGTTGGGAGAAGTGGAAAAATTGGAACCTTCATACACTACTAGTGGAATATAAAACGAGACAGCCTGGCAGTTCCTCAAAATGAAATGGTTTGGCAGTTCCTCAAAAAGTTAAATACAGAATTACCATATTGTCCAGCACCTCCACTCCTACATAGACACCCAAAAGAATTGAGAGCAGGACTCAAGTATTTGGCCACCTATGTTCTTAGCAACATTATTCACCGCCTTAGTAACCAAAAGGTGGATGCAACCCAAATATCCACCAACAGATGAACAGACAAACACAATGTGGAATATACACACAATGAAATATTACCCTCCCACAAAAAAAGAATGAGATTCTGATACATTCTACAACATGGATGAACCTTGAAAACATACGAGCCACGCACAAAAGACCACATATTTTATGACTTCATTTATATTCAAATGTCCAGAATAGACAAATCCATAGAGGCAGAATAGACGTTATCAGATGCTGGAAGTAGTGGGGGAATGGGAAGTTATTGTTTAATGGGTTCAGAATTTCTGTTTGAGATGATGGAAAAGTTTCAGAACTAGTTAGTGGTGATGGTTACACAACATTGTGAATGTACTTACTGGCACTATAAGTACATTGGGAGCACTCTGGGAGGCTAAGGGAGGCAGATCATGAGGTTAGGAGTTCAAGACCACCCTGACCAACATGGTGAAACCCTGTCTCTACTAAAAATACAAAAAATAACCAGGCGTGGTGACACGTGCCTGTAATCCCAGCTGCTCAGGAGGCTGAGACAGGAGAATCGCTTGAACCTGGGAGGTGGAGGTTGCAGTGAGTCAAGACTATGCCAGTGCACTACAGCTTGGGCAACAGAGCAAGACTCTGTCTAGGGGAAAAAAAAATGGCTAACATGGCAAATTTTATGTTTAAATTTTTTTAAATCTGATAATCCCAGGTTTCTTAGAAGAGACCAACAATATTGAGATGGATTTTATGTAAGTATGAGAGCTAATACCATACAACTAATTCTAAATTTTAAGGAGAAATACAAAGTAACTACAATATTGAAAGCAATCCTGGAGATGAACAAGGTTGGAAAGCTCCATTCATCAAGACAGTAAGGAACCGGCACGAGGACGAACAAAGCAGCGTAACAGCAAAGATGGCTCAGAAATAGAGCCCCGCTTCTACAATGACCATATTTTCAACAGAGGCGCTAAAGCAATCCAATGGGGAAGGAAAAGTCTTTTTAACAAATGGTGCTGAAATACCCATATGGAACAAGTATCAGAAACCTGACCCATGCCACACTCCATACTTAAATATTGAGACACATCTTTGGCCAGGTGCAGTAGCTCACGCCTGTGATCCCAACACTTTGGGAGGCCAATGCAGGTGGATCACGAGGTCAAGAGATGAAGACCATCCTGGTCAACATGGTGAAACCCCGTCTCTACTAAAAATACAAAAAATTAGCTGGGCATGGTGGCATGCGCCTGTAATCCCAGCTACTCAGGAGGCTGAGGCAGGAGAATTGCCTGAACCCGGGAGGCGGAGGTTGTGGTGAGCTGAGATCGCGCCATTGCACTCCAGCCTGAGTAACAAGAGCGAAACTCCGTCTCAAAAAAAAAAGAAAAGAGAGATGCATCTTTAAGTTTAAGAGCTAAAACAATAAAGCATTTGATGAAAAACACTGAAAATATCTTCATGATGCTGAGTAGGCAAAGGTTTCTTGGGTCAAAGAAAGTAGTAACAAGAGAATTGAATCTCCTCAAAATTCTGTGAATGAAACGACACCATAGAGAAAATGATTAGGCAAGCCACAAGTTACAAAAATAATTTACAAAACATATCTGACAATGGACTAGTGTCCAGGGCAAAGAATTCCTGTAACTCAGCAATAAAAAAGACAATACATCCATACAATATTATTCATTGAGGAAATAAATTAGTTATCAAACCGTGAAAAGATACAAAAGAACCTTACATGCATATTATATTTTATGAAAGCAGCCAATGTGAACAGGGTACATGCTGTATAATTTTATGTGACATTCTGGCAAAGGCCATAGTATGAAGACAATAAAAAGATCAGTGGTTGCCAGAGATCAGAGAGGGAGGGAGGGACCAATAGGTGGAGCACAGCAAGTTTTTAGGGGAGTAAAACTATTCTGTGTGATACTGTAATGGTGGCTGTCATTACGTATTTGTCAAATGTTAGATAATTTCATCAAATGCTTTTTTCCTGTATCTATTGAAATGATCATATGGGGTTTCTCCTCTATTCTATTACTGTAAATTATAGATTGGTTTTCAAATATTTAACTATCCTTGCATTCCAGTAATAAACCCTACGTGTTTATGTCATATTATCCTATTTGTGTATTGCTGGATTCAGGTTGCTGATAATTTTTTTTGCATTGATGTTCATGAGAGAGATTTATCTGTGATTTTCTTTTTTGATAATGACTTTGTAAGATTTTGGTATTAGAGTTCTGCTGGCCCCTTAAAAGGCACTGGAAGTATTCCCTCTTCTTCTATTTGATAGAGGTCATACAACACAATCAATGAAATGTAATGTAAACCATAAGCTTTAATGAATAATGTGTCAACATCAGCTCATCAGTTGTATTAAATCTGTCCCACTAATGGCAGATGTTAATAAAGGACAAGTGAGGGATTGGGTGGAAGAAGAGGAAAACTCTTTGTACTTCCCATGCAGTCTTGCTGTAAGTCTAAAACTGCTCCCCACAAAATCTATTAAAAATGTAGGAAGAAAAGAAAGCAATTCAAAAAAGGGATAATCCAGTTAAGAAAAAACGGGCAAAAGATGTGTATAGATAATTCACAAAGGAAACATATATAAATGGCATAAGTACATGAAAAGGTGCTTAAATCATTAGTCATCAGGGAAACACAGAAAGAAATAAGACACCATTACTCACCAGAATGTCTAAAATTTAAAAAGATTGACATAACCACGGACTGGTAAGGATGTAGAACTGGGAGTCTCATCATTACTGGTGGGAGTACAAAATGGAATGACTGCATTGAGAAAAGGTCTAGAAGTTTCTTATAAAACTAAATATGTATACATCTACCATAATACCCAACAATTCCACTCCTGGGTATTTATCCAAGAGAAATAAAAATCCCCATTTCTTTCAACTTGCACATGAATGCAAAACTCCTGTTGTATGCTGTGTTCTGGAGAGGCTGCAGTCTGGTGTGGGGAGCAGAGCAGTGGCCAGCACAGCACAGTGAGGCGACAGAGCATGGGGGCTCTAATAGGACGTGGACAGGGCACACAGCCAGGCGCTGGTGTTCAAACCAGGTGGAAGGCAGAAAGAGCCATGAAGAAGTGGCCACTATTCTACCCCAGTAATAGTCTATTTTTGTTGTGTCAAACTGGACTTTTTACATTTATCATGTTATTTAACTTTTAACATATGCTTAAGAGATGGGCAGAACTTCTGCCACTGTATGTGGGATTCGAGCCTGAAATATTAATAGGTCACTTGCTCTCCACCAGTGTGATGGGCAGCCCAGGGTCTGTACCCAGTCCGCTCCAGAGCCCAGACCTTTCCCCAAACATTTCCCCTTTCTTCTTTGCAGTATCTTCACAACATTCTATTCTTAATTTTTTTTTTTATAGGGATGGGGGTCTTGCTGTGTTGCCCAGGCTGGTCTTGAACTCCTGGCCTCATGTGATCCTCCCGCTTCTGCCACCCCAAATGCTAAGATTAAGACATTAGGCACCACACCCCGCATCAACATTCTTCTTAACACCATTTTTGTAAACCTTGTGGAGCCTCCACTTCAGTGACAATCCCATCAACAGCTGACATTTGCCACATTGGCTGACCATAAGTCCAAGCCACAACTCGACAGGAATAGACTCAAAGTAGACATCGTATCTCTAGGCATAGCAAGGTGCATTTTCCACAGCCTCATGCCATCTTCTCAAGTCTCCCTGGTCCCAGGACAATCATTAACATGGCAATGGATGGCTGGCAGAACAGGAGCTGACAGCCAAAACTCCAGACCCAAAGAGAAACACCCCTCAATGACCTCCCCCCCATCAGCTGCTGCAAACCTGCCTGATCAGTCATGAAGCCCACTTGAAGAGGGACAATGACCGTTAGGTCTCACCCATTCTTAGGGCTGTCAGTGTGACTGAAGCTGCCACCTGCAGAGCGCAGGAGAGGAGCCTTCGCCTTCACCTCCTTTCCCTTCTCCATCTGTCTCCCTGAAGCCCCTGGTCAGTGCCCTCTCTTGAGGAAGCCTCTGATCCCATAGCCAAGGACAAGTTCCAGGCCCATGGGCACCAACAGGATGGGGCTCTGTATTCGGGGAGCATCAGCTCGGTGCAGGTCCAAGTGCAGGTGGCTTAGTGACCTGTAGGCCAGGGACACGACCTGTGGACCAAATTGAGCCATTCCGCGTGAGGCGTCGCCTCCTTCCTGGGATCACAGGCACACACAGCTCCCCACAGCCACTCCACACACACTTCTCAATTCCCGTGAAAAATTTAACTGCATATCTGAGCCACATGCCTGCCACATTCCGCTTAGAGCAGGTCAACAGCACCTGAGTTCCTGTTTACTAAAAATATCTTGCCCTGGAACTGGGCACAGGCCAGGCTGCCTGTGTGAGTGCGGCTCCGCTCACCTACCGCTGGTCTGCAGGCTGCCCATGTCAGTGCGGCTCCGCTCACCCACCGCTGGTCTGTAGGCTGCCCATGTCAGTGCGGCTCCGCTCACCCGCCGCTGGTCTGCAGGCTGCCCGTGTGAGTGCGGCTCCGCTCACCCACCGCTGGTCTGCAGGCTGCCCGTGTCAGTGCGGCTCCGCTCACCCACCGCTGGTCCACAGCCCACACCAGGGCCTGGTCTTTCTCTGCAAGCAGGCAGCTGGCAGACACAGGTGGTGACCTGGAGTCAAGCAGGTGCCTTCTTTCAGGCCAATCTTCCATACCTGCCGAGAAAAACCACAAAAGACCTCCAAACTGCTTGAGTTAAAGTCTCCATTTATTTTTTTTACAAAAATCCAATGTAAGACCATTGTGCTCATGACGAAAAGGGGTGGGGTGGATGGACGTGACACAGATTCCAAAGAGCTTCCCCTCCAAACTAGGAGCTCCCCGCTCTGTCCGGCACACCTCCCAGGAAGATCCCCTTCTCCCAGACAGGACCCCAGCAGGTGAGCCCTGGCCTGAGGCACAGTCCACACAGAGGAGCTTTGCCTGGAAGCGTCCTGTGGAGCCCTGGGGCAGCGTCACAGGACAGCCCAAACCAGTGAGCAAGCCAGCCACCTGGACAGCGAGGCAGTCCCGCACCCTGCGAGCCAGGACAGGATGGCCAGGGGTGCCCCATGGACAGCCAAGGAGACCCAGGGTCCGCGGCACTGCTTTTCTGCCTCACACAAGTCACAGGTCAGCGGCTTTCCTGTGGTGAGAAGCACCTGGCCAGTGATGCCACAGCCGCCTTGCCGCCTCTCACCGAGGAGGGCGTGCCCCTCAGCACCTGTCTGCAGTCCAAGCCTGTGTTCCTTTCAGGGCCAAAGAGGGCTGTTCCTGTGGGAGGTTCCGGCACCACAGCCCTCCCTATGGCACGTTTTGGTGACATGTCACTTCAGCCCACTCTGCCCTTCCTGGATCCACCAGTGACACTCGGGGATCCAACAACTGGCTCCACTAAAGGGACAGGGATCCAACAACTGGCCCCGACACACAGATGGCCCCGGCTCACTGAGTCCCACTGATGTCAGTATATGAGTTCCTCACATTAAAAGAAACCAGATAAAATAGCAGCCACAATAAAGCCCCACACACTACTCTCTTTGGCTCCCCGAGGGAAGGCTACTGCCGAAGGAATCGAGTCAGGAGTCCGGGAAAGGGCAACTAGAAAGTTCCGAGGAGGGCGCCTAGCCCCCACTGCTGGGCTGCTGGGAACAAAACCACACTTCCTAGGTGGCTGCCTCAGCAGGGGAGCTACAGACTGAGGCCGGGGGAACCTCAGGAAACACAGTCCTGGGAGCAGCCGGGTCCTGCTTGCCAATGGGGAGAGTTCCCTTAAGCCGTGCTAGAGCCGTACAGGTGGGTGGGAGCTACACAAGAGAACCCAGCTTCAAAGCAGTGCTTGAAGAGGCCCCATGTAGTACAGGCAGGTCAGAGGAGAATGGATCCCGAGAAACAGAAGCACAGGATGCCAAGGTCAGGGAAGACGGGACTGGCTTAAGGCATGTGCATGACCAGGACAGACCTGAGCTTTTGTTCAGTTGCTAGAAACCTTCAGAGTCAACTCCACTTCCAGAAAGCAGGGCTCAAGAAACAGAAGTCATGGGCTAATCCCTGACAAATGCCACTAACACCCTCGTAAGTTTCCCTACTGCCACCAACGCCCCCAAAATTAGCTTATTTCCGTTTCAGCCCAGGGAATGGAATTCCAGAGAGCGGAAAGTGGTAACATGGGCTGGAATGCCTGTTCGACTCCAAGGCTGCATGTGAGCTTCCGCAGCAAATCACGGCCTCCCACTGTTCCAGCACATACCAAACCTTAGCAGGTCCTACAGCCACACTGGCGTTAGGGGTCCAAAAACCACTGGTAACACAGGATGGGGCTCCAGACAGAGGCAGGGGGAAGGTGAATTTCACCAAGGAATTATCCCAAGGCAGGCGCCTTGCTGTAAGACTTCCCGGCCAGCCGGGCGGGGTCCTCGAAGGACACTGGCTTGCTCTACACCAGGGAGAGGAGGCTGACCTGCAAGCCACTCAGACCACAGCGACGTGCACCCTGCTCATTTCCTGTCCAAAATGAGAGACAGCACTTCAGTAAAGCCTGAGGCCCACAGCACATGTCTTTCAACAGAAGAGCAGGATAAAAATAGCCATCTGGGAGAGCCGTCCTCAGGCCCTATTCCTTTCTCACTCTTTGCTTCCTCATTCTTCTCTCAAACAAAGGAGAAATGGGAGATCAGGGATAAGTACTGGGGCAAGCCTGGCCTAAAGATAAATCCTCAAAACCACTGGCCCCAGCAGCAGGAGGCTGAGAACCCCGCCAGGGTCAGGTGCTCCCTGGGATTCCCTGGGAGGGGAATGTGGCGTTACAGGGTTGCTGACTGGCAGCGGAAAGGCAAGGGAACAGACCCACAGATCTTATCTCGCCCAGGCCTGTAAGAGGGCCAAGTTCATCCCTTTCTTGTTTCTGCACACAGAGGGCCCTGGGGAGGATGGAAGATGATCGCTGAGGGTAAGCCAGGGACACAAGGCCAGGACCCATCTCCACCAGAATACAGAACAAAGGAGCCTGCGGGGTCCCTCCCTTAGAGAAGCAAAACTCAAACTCCCCCAGCCAAAAATATATATATGTATGTGATTGTGTGTGCATATATATACACACACACATATATATATAAATAAGCCTCGAATGGCAAATCTGAAACTTTTTCTTTTTAAATAATCATAATAGTTGTTATTGAATTTAAAAACCACAAACCAGCTGTCCTGGGCATATGAACTGTGTGAGTGACTCTGCAGAGTCCCCACAGTCCTCAGTGTAAGCTATCAGTCAGTGCCCTGTGTGGGGAGCCCCGGGGCCTCCGCCCAGGGCTCCAGGCCCAGTGTGGTTGACTTCAAAATAAAGGCAGCGGTTTCCTTCCACTCTTCCTGCTGCCCCTCCCAGCGGAGGGTCTGGGTCACCCACCCAGCAGATGGCCCCAATGTCCTGCAAGGCCTAGGAACCTCGGGTGCCATCTCCCTCCCTCTGCCCATCCTATTCCCCAGACTTTGCGTTGCCCCTAGATGAACTTGAAGCACTTGGTCTTGTCATGGGGCAGGCGCGTCTTGAAGAGCACAGAGTCCACCCTGAACTGCGTGTACAGGAGGGGCATGTAGCCGTACACCTTTACAAAGAAGTTGATGCACTTGTGCCGCTCATGGAAGTGGGAGTCATCATGTGACAGGGCCTGAGGGCATCCTGGGCATCGGAAGGTCCACCGTGAGGTCACCTGGAAACAGGAGAGAGAGACAGAGTGGGAATTCTGGCTAATGCCAACAGAAACCTTGCAGCAGAGCCGATCCCACGCCCCCATGGCCATGGTGAAGACGCCGATCCCTGCAGAGATGTTGGCAGGAGCCAGAGCCCTGGCGCAGGCCTCCTGCCTACCAGGTGTATCCAGAACATCATCAGGTTTTCTGCTGGGACGGCCTACATGTCACAGATGCCAAAAGCCTTAACGTGTATAGTGTCAGCTGTCTCAGTAATTCTACTCCTAGTGTCTACTTGGTTGCACAGACACAGGCAGGTACCAAGTTGTTCCTTTCATCAATGTTTTGAAACAAAATACTGAAGACTACCTGAAGAGGGGCTAGTCAAATGATTCTTGAATACTGTCCATAAAAAAGATACTTAACTCCATTTAAAGCCATGGGAAAGTGGTCATACTATAGTCAAATTAGTATTCATTAGAAAACTTCTAACTAGAAAAGTACGAAGAGGGACAGCTTCATTACAATGTGGCAGGCCAAACAGCATAAAAACTCAGTACAGAACACCTGAATGTGCAAGATGAAATACAGAAACCATCTCTTTAAATACAGGGCTGAGCCTGTAATAAGAAATGAAATCATCTGGTGATTAACCCCAGCACTTTGGGATGACACGGCAGGAAGATCAAAACCAGCCTGCTCACATTTTTATCTTTTTTGGAAATGAGGTTTTGCATTGTTGCATCTCCACAAAAGATTAAATGTTAGCAGGGCGTGGTTGCATGCCAGCTATTTAGTGCAGTCCCAGTTACTTGGGAAGCTGAGACAAGAGGTTGCTTGAGCCCAGGAGTTTGAGGCTACAGGGAGCTCTGATGGTACCACTGCACTCCAGCCTGGGTGATAGTGAGACCCTGCCACTCACTCATATACATGCATGCATGAATGAACAATGAATAATGAAATGAATGAATGAAATCCTCAGAGGCCAAACAATGAAAGAGCAAATACTGTGAGGTAGCCATGAACTTGGTTTTAGATGGGTTGGGGGAAGTGACACCTCCAACGCAGGCTTGTGGCCTTTGGAAACACTGGCTTCCATGGAAGGGAGCATGGAAAGGAAGAAGCCCCACCAAGAAAGATGGGAAAGAAATTTCTTTAAATTTATCTTCTACTTCCTTAATTTTCTTTTCACCTAAGTCTGATCTTTTATCCCATTTCACAGAGATTTTAATAACCATGATTTTCATTTTCAGTAGTTCCATTCAGGGCTTTCCAATCTCTGTTCTTTCTGGAGTGATTTGTTGCTCTTTTACGTTTTCATGTTAGTCGTTTTCAGCATACTTGTTGTATAGTCCATTTAACGGCTGGCTTCCTTATTTGGAATCCCTGGAGAACTATAACCTGTTTGTTGTATGTGTTCACTGTTGCTCATCATCAGCTGTTTCCTTGGTGGCTGACTAGCAACTTTATATTTCAAGCTCATCTTCAATGAGGCTTTACCTATGAGTGTCTTATATGGCCTGAAGTGAAGAAATTTCTTTTTCTTCAGTGGAAACTTCCCCTGCTGAGAAAAATTTCTCCTTATAACAGAGTTTTGGTTTTATTCTGTGAGACAGTCCAAGGGTATCATTGACTGGGTCTAGTTTTCTTTTTTTTCCCTCTGGGGACTCCCGATTTTGCTTAGGCTGGCCTCAAACTCCTGGCCTCAAGAAATTCTCCTGCCTCAGCCTCCCAACGTGCTGGGATTACAGACTTGAGCTACCTCATGTGGCTCTGGGTCTAGTTTTCATATAGAATAAGTCCTTAAACCCATGGAAGCTCAAAAGACTATTAAACATTCTCAACCTACACTTTCCCCCCAAAACCTGTCAGAGTCTAAGTTAAAATAAACAAGGTGCACGTCATCTCCCTGAGGCAACACGCAGATCTCCATTCTAATTCTCTGCCTTCTTCACTGCTTCCAATGAGTGATAAAACCCAAGCCCCTAGACAACTAAGGTGAGAGCAGCCCCACATGGGGGCCTCCGTGATGCCGCCACACTTGCGACCTTGAGTTCTATTCCTCCTATCTGCTTCCTTTCTGGCAATTCTCTTACTTTTTTATTAGCTCAACTATACACTGAAAATAGAACTTTGTTACTTATAGTGATCAGGTTTTTAAATTACCGAGTTCACTATATTACAAAAACCAGAAAATTTACTATCAAGTTTTTAAAAAGCAGACTGCAGAACAAGTATATAAATTTAAAATATAAAAATAAGGCCAGTTGTGGTGGCTCCCACTTGTAATCCCAGCACTTTGGGAGGCCAAGGTGGGTGAATCACTTGAGCTCAGGAGTTCGAGACCAGTCTGGCCAACATGGCAAGACCACGTTTCTACTAAAAATATAAAAACAATCAGCTGGGCATGGTGGCATATGCCTGTAATCCTAGCTACTCTGGAGGCTAATGCAGGAGAATCACTTGAACCCAGGAGGCAGAGGTTGTAGTGAGCCAAGACCATGCCACTGCATTGCAGCCTGGATGACAAATCAAGACTACATCTCAAAAAAGAAAAAAGAAACCATATATATATACACACACACACACGTATGTGTGTGCATATATGTGTGTCTATGTGTGTATATATATGTATATGTATAAATAAGTAAGTCACAATAGACAGGATACCAGAGAACCAAAAGAAATAAGCCAAAGGTTTTAGTACTTTTGAATTCTTTCTCCATGTCTGTCTTTTCCCAAATAATTTTTAAATTGTTATTTCTATTATAAATTGAAGGGAAAATTTTTAATTGAAAGACACATCCCATGACTTATAGCAGAAGAATAATCACTGTGTACAGCCAATATTCACCGTCAGAGCCCAGGTCCCAGAGTTTAAACCGGGAGGAGACAAAGGCCAGCAATGGAAGGGTGGCTCACCTCAGAACCGAGTGTCTGGGCAGTCATGACCTCCGCAGGTCCCCTCCGGGGACCCACCTGTCTCCTCGCTTCTCCCTTCACTCACTGGCTGCTCTCTTACAGCCTTTCAGGGTCACGTCAACACTGAGTTACTACTCTTCCCACAGTTCCCACTGGAACAGGAAATGGAGGTCACGAATCTTGGGAAGGACGTTCTCAAACAGCATCTATGTCCAGTATTCCATCGGGCTCTTGCTGGACCTAAAAACCCTTCTCATGCCAGACACCAGAATCCAACCCCAGGAGAAACGCCCTCTAACCTGCTGCACGTGATTCCATGCAACACAAAAAGTGACTTGATAACTGTTGTTTTCAAGGAAGCAGAGGCTTCCAAATGTTTTAAATTATGTAATCCATCAGTAAAAAAACGACTACATCCCCAATATATATATTCTCAAAACTTTCTGGGTGACTTTTTAATCTCTTATTCTGAATGAAGCCTATTTACATTCTGTGTTCTCCTCCTTGCAAAGGTAGCACATTATTCAAAGTAATAATATGACATTAACTCCCCATTCTTTAGTCAGCATGGTTAAGAGATTAACATTATAGAAAGACTACCAATCATGCAAAGCAGTCAAACATCCCAAATTCAAACAAGGAATAGTCTGACAGTAAAAACTTGAGGTACTGAAAGCAAAACAAAAAAATTATTTTTGAACACAAAAGAGGACATATGCCTGATACCATTACAATTAGGTAAATAAAATATTTAATTCAAACTGGTTCTATATCATGAAGTAAATAATTAGATTCATAAGTTGACGGAATTAACTAAGACTTTGAAAACACTCTTAATTTCAGCCCTTGAATTTGAAAAGTCATCCCGGTCTTGAATTCTTCATACATTCCTGAAAGATCAAGAAAATTCAGCCGGTCGCAGTGGCTCAAGCCTGTAATCCCAGCACTGTGGGAGGCCGAGGCGGGTGGATCACGAGGTCAAGAGATCAAGACCATCCTGGTCAACACGGTGAAACCCCGTCTCTACTAAAAATACAAAAAATTAGCTGGGCATGGTAGCGCGTGCCTGTAATCCCACCTACTCAGGAGGCTGAGGCAGGAGAATTGCCTGAACCCAGGAGGCACAGGTTACAGTGAGCCGAGATCGCGCCATTGCACTCCAGTCTGGGTAACAAGAGCGAAACTCCGTCCCAAAAAAAAAAAGAAAATTCAGAGAGAATACTCAGTTTTGAAGTTTTCACTTGCTAAGAATCTTGTCCAGATTACTTCCACGTGCACTGAAGAGATAGCTTAGCTAAAGAAACACTGGCCCAACAACACAGTAGACAAACACATTTCAACAAAGATGAAAAATTCCCCATGTCTGTGCCTCCTCAGGTAACCGATGCTATTATTAGGTACCTAACCACTCAGATATTGAAATTTTCACTTCTGGTCTACTGGGGAGGCATAAACTGATGCATACATCTTGAATCAAGTCCAGTCTCTGGCTATATAAGAAAGGATATATAAGGAATAGAAAATTGCACTCATCATTAATTGCTTTCTCAAAACTTTGCCTCTCTACCTCAAAGTCTACAAAGTCTTTTCACTGTTTAATATGAGACCTACCGGCCGGACGCGGTGGCTCACGCCTAGAATCCCAGCACTTTGGGAGGCTGAGGCAGGTAGATCACGAGGTCAAGAGACCAAGATCATCCAGGTCAACATGGTGAAACCCTGTCTCTACTAAAAATACAAAAATTAGCTGGGCATGGTGGCGCACACTTGTAGTCCCAGCTACTCGGGAAGCTGAGGCAGGAGAATTGCTTGAACCCAGGAGGCGGAGGTTGCGGTGAGCCGAGATCACGCCACTGCACTCCAGCGTGGGTAACAAGAGCGAAACTCCGTCTCAAAAAAAAAAAAAGAGACCGACCTACCACTCTACCTGGAAAACATACTATTCTTATATATATACTTGTGACTATTATTTTTCACAGTTAAAAAAAAATCAATACATTATTTTGCTAATTTTTTTTCTCTTGTGAGGCTTTAACAGAAGTCTCGGCAATAGAAGGAAATGTTCTGGGACAATCAGGAGTAATGTTCTGCCCAGGAGCCACCGTTGGCCTCCAAATGCATTTTCCATGCTTTGCTGCATGGAACCAGCATCCTCTGGTGACCACTCTGCTTAGCACTAAAGATACAACTTCCTTTTCACACGCTGCCCAAGATGGAGTGCAGTGGCTGTTCACAGACACGCCCATAACACATTCAGCCTAGAACTCCTGGATTCAAGTAATCCTCCTGCCTCAAACTCCTGAGTAGCTGAGACTACAGGTGTGTGCCACTACACCCCACTTCTAAAGATACGATTTGACTATTAGTACATGGTGGTGGGTACTTAATCCAGAACACAATTATTATCATCATTACTATTTTTTTTTTTTTTTTTGAGACAGAGTCTCACTCAGTCGCCCGGGCTGGAATGCAGTGGCACTATCTCAGCTCACTGCAAGCTCCGCCTCCTGGGTTCAAGCAATTCTCATGCCTCAGTTTCCAGAGTAGCTAGTACTACAGGCACATGCCACCACGCCCAGCTAATTTTTTGTATTTTCAGTAGAGATAGGGTGTCACCATGTTAGTCAGGATGGTCTAGATCTCCTGACTTCATGATCCACCTGCCTCAGCCTCCCAAAGTGCTGGGATTATAGGCATGAGCCATGGCACCTGGACTAATTTGTATATTTTTTAGTAGAGTCACGGTTTCACAGTGTTAGCCAGTATCGTCTCAAACACCTAACCTCAAGTGATCTGCCCTCCTCGGCCTCCAAAATGCTGGGATTACAGCAGTGAGCCACCGTCCTGGCCGAACACAATTATTATTTATTCATGGCAATGACATCCATGAAAGTCAACTTATTTCATAAAATTAAGTAATGTGCTTTTATGATAATCACAAAAAGAAGATCTCATTAGTTTGCTGACCCTTCTAAGGACATCCGGTATAAATCTATGAAACAAACACAGACAAAACACAGTCACAAATATTCATTTGAAGTTACAGATTCTGTAGCATTACTGGTTCTCATAACGTCTCCTTCTGTAAGGACTGAGCTATGCTGACCCTTACCAGCATGCTCTAACTTGCTGACAGAGCCCCCATGATGACAGGAAGGGGGTGGAACCAGGCTTTCTGTGCACTGAGTGTACTTGTTAATTCCTCCAAGAACAAAAAAGAACAAGAATGTCTAGACTTCTGAGGGTATTTTTGGCTCTGAGTAAATAATTTATGTAGTACTTATGCGCCGGGCACTATTCTTTGAGCTTTATATATATTAACTCAGAAATTCTTAAGGTTTTTGTTTGATGGATATCCCCTGTGCCTCTGGCTTGGCAATCGGGTCACGGCTGTGGACTCCTCAAAATAACGTTTTTAGATATATAAACTGCAATACACAGGATGACAATGCAAACGAGTTACACTAAACACAGTGATATACATGCTCTTTTATAATGCATTAAATAACAAGATCTAAAGGAAGCGTAATAATGGCCGTGAATTCAAAGCAGTAACAAACAGAAACAATATTTTTGCAGATACTGCAACATGTGATAAGAAGATATCTATGATTTCTACTGGTAACAAATCAGTTAACTACAAATACTCTTATGAATTGTATAGCCTGTTTCAAAATTGAAGAAAATGCTAAACTCCAGTAAGAGATTAATAAAAATTATGATGCAACATCTTTCCAAACCTTCTGGTTTCTCTCCATTGGCCTTTGGAATGAAGGGCCCCTGTCCTAACATCTCACGAAGCCCACGGACAATCCTTTCATGAGGTAGGACAAATGAGGACTGAGGTCCAGTGCAATTATATGTCACGCGACTGCAAAGCAAGTGAATTAAACATGCGTGTATCTGCAGCCCCACCAGCAGCGGGACCTCACCTTGATGGGGGGCTTCCGAGTGATGTGGGAGACAAGAAAGTTCATGGCAATGTCCTCACAGTTGATGTATTCATCCACCATGTCCCGGATGGCCTGGGGCATCACGTAAGAATACAGGTAGGCGTAATACTGTCGGGAAGAAAAAGAACCACATGCTCTGTTAGAGGACACAGGCTGTTGGCTTTCAGACAAAACACGCATGACTAGAGGGGCTGTTTGGGTGTGGTAGTAACTGGGAGGTATTACTGGCACTTAGGGACTCGGGCTGGGGGGTGCCAGACATCCTGACGGGCAGATCTTCTGCAGTGAGGAATTTATCCCATTCAAATGCCATCATCACCCCCTTCAGTAACAGAACATCATGTCATCTCCTTGGTACCGCAGCGATTTTGAAATCAATATAAAGATTTGTCAAACTAGGTCAGACGCTGGTTCAGTTGAACACTATTTTATCTCTAACAATGGCAAAAGGAAAAAAAAGAGTAAGTGACGGGGAAAAGCCTGGTTATTTTCTCAGACCTCAATAAATCACAGAACCATGAAGCACAACATCCCTCGTGGCCTTCCACAGAGATTCTTGAGTCTGGTCACTTCTCACTATTGGCCCTGGCTATTCACTGCTCCCAACCCCGCCTTCATCTCTTGCCTGGATTGCCCGCACTGGCCCCTAAATACCCTCCCTGCTGCCAGATACTCTTCCCCATGTGCTAGTCCCAGCACAGCAGGTGACTGTGTTAACACTCAAGCCAACTGAACATGTCACCGCTTTGCTTTAAAGCCTCCAAGCCTTCCCCTCTCAGTTAGAATAAAAGGCAAAGTTCTTTTGCAAGCACTTTTTCACAAAAAAAAAAAAAAAAAAAAAAAGAAAGAAAATTTTTAAAATGGCAAAGTTTTCAGACTGTTCTACAGGTCCACAGAGGGAAGAGTTGGGGCCACTGACACCTGCTCATGAATGTCAATTGCTACATTTTTAGAATGTTGTGAGCTTGTTGTTAAACACAGCCATTATTAAAGATGTAATTATATAAACTTCAAATTAAACAAATTAAAATTACACTACAAATCCATGCAATGAATACCTTAAATTCATTACTTCCTAATTTATTATATCTTGAGGTTACTTATATCTACTGTTGATGTTGAAAATACTACATAATGGGCCGGGCGCGGTGGCTCAAGCCTGTAATCCCAGCACTTTGGGAGGCCGAGGCGGGTGGATCACGAGGTCAGGAAATCGAGACCATCCTGGTCAACATGGTGAAACCCCGTCTCTACTAAAAAATAAAAAATAAATAAAAAAAAATAAAAATCAGCTGGGCATCGTGGCACGTGCCTGTAATCCCAGCTACTGAGGAGGTTGAGGCAGGAGAATTGCCTGAACCCAGGAGGCGGAGGTTGCGGTGAGCCGAGATCGCGCCATTGCACTCCAGCCTGGGTAACAAGAGTGAAACTCCGTCTCAAAAAAAAAAAAAAAAAAAAAAGAAAATACTACATAATGGTGTACAACTGTACATCTCTTCCCAAATCCATGTTCAGTGGCTCATGCTAAGTTCAAATCAGCCAAGGTAAGAATATTTATACCACAGAAATCAGCAAATACTACAAGACAGGGCACACGTTAACTGCTACATGTTGCACTTTGCTGTAATGAACAGATGAATAGGTGATGCTCCCAGTTAAACCAGTGCACTATTAGCATACTTCATTACCTACAGTATAATCTGTTTAGGGAAATAATGATCATAAAATGTTTTTGTGACACAGAATAAACGTGCTTTCTTAAGAGTTGGTAAACTTAAAAAATGTATTGTACTTTTTATTCTTTTAACAAAAAGGTGATCCAGGCTGGGCATGGTGGTTCATGCCTGTAATTCCAACTACCAAAAAACTAAAAAAAAAAGTACTAAAAAAAAAAAAAATTAGCTGGGCATGGTGGTAGGTACCTGTAGTCCCAGCTACTTGGGAGGCTAAAGCAGGAGAATCGCTTGAACCCAGGAGGCGGAGGTTGTAGTGAAACAAGACTGTGCCACTGCGTTCCTGCCTGGGTGACAGAGCGAGACTCCATCTCAAAAAAAAAAAAAAAAAAGTTTAATTTGGAAACAGACCTGACTTGCTGTAACTCACTATAACTTGCTATAACTTTACCAATCATGGTAAAACCTTGATTGGTATCCAATCAAGGTTTTCAAAAATAATAATATTCAATTATACCACTTTAACTAAAAATTAAGATCTTGACCAATATGGTGAAACCCCATCTCTACTAAAATACAAAAATTAGCTGGATAAGGTGGCACATGTCTGCAATCCTAGCTAATCGGGAGGCTGAGGCAGGAGAATCACTTGAACCTGGGAGGCAGAGGTTGCAGTGAGCCAAGATCGCACCACTGCATACCAGCCTGGGCAACAGAGCGAGACTCCATCTCAAAAAAAAAAGAAATGAGTGTAAGAAAAACAAGGAGCCACAGGCAGGTGAGCTCACACCCGCCCCATTATAGGCCCCATCGACAGGAACAAACACCACGCAGCCCAGCCAGGCCTCACAGGGCCTGATCTTCATTTGTATTGCAGCTCAAATCTTTCTGTGAAATCTTCTGATTTTTAAAAGTTGTCAGTGTATGGGACAATGCTGGAGGGCCCAAAAATCTCTCTGTGAGTCAACTGAGACTTGGAGGCTGCTAGTCCGTAATCTTCTTTCTAGATTTTCACACAGGAAAAATACTAACTTTCATTAGGTAAATGATTTCTTGAAAGGAGAGGTATCTGACCATTTGTGTTTTTAAACAGTCTGAATCTGAGAAGGCAGACTTTTCAGAATTTAAGTACATCCTCAGGATATGAGGATAGACACTGCTAAGATCAGTGGCTCCTTCTGAGCTGAGCAAGTGTGCAGATGTTGGCCAGTTGCTAACACCCTATTCCTCTCGCCCTAATTGCAATCCCCAGCCCAACCAAGGCTCACCCAAGGAAGGAAGTCCTGAGGTGACGTGCAAGAATGGGATGATCAACTTCACACATTAAGTTTTTAAAATAAAAAGAATAGCTGAAAGTTTAATGACTGCTTAGATGGGCTCGAAATGTCCCTGTAGGTTAGGCATGGTGCCTCATGTCTGTAATCCCAACATTATAAGAGGCTAGAGCGGGGTAGATCACTTGAGCCCAGGAGTTCGAGACCAGCCTGAGCAACATGGTAAAACCACAACACTACAAAAAATACCAAAAAAAAAAAAAAAAAAAAAAAAAAAAAGCCAGGTGTGGTGATGCATTCCTGTAGTCCCAAATACCCTGGAGGCTGACTCAGGAGCATCACCTGGGTGAGGCTGAGGCTGCAATGAGCCAGGATCTCACCATTACATTCCAGCCTGGACGACAGAGACCCTGTCTTAAAAAATAAAACAAGTCCCTATAAAAATGAATGTTATTGTTCTATTTGAGGTGACTGGCAAGATGCCACCATCTGAGATGTGAGATAGGTACCGGAGAAAAGACTTCAAGGAGCTGGGGAGAGATGGTGATCTTTTGTGGGAAAAGTTGGTATGAAGTGCTGAGGGACAAATGAGAGAGGTCCCGTAAACAGTGAAAATACACAAATGCAGACCTCAGCGAGAAAGGCCACGGCTGGAAGAAGATGAGGAAGTCACCAGTCTGCAGATGCTAAGAAAAACCTCGAAACCTTGAGTGTGTGAGAGAACCCCAAGGGAAAAGAAGAACAACAACAGAGGCTAGACCCCGGGACATGACACCTTCCAGGCAGAGAGAGTGTGGTGGGAGGGTCTTCTGTGAGGACAGTGAAGGCGCCAGAACCACAGAGGGCGTGGACGCAGACAAAGAGGTGGCGGCAGGTGCCACCGTCTTTGGTGACTGTCAGGGCACAATGAAAAGGCTAGTCGATAGCAGCAGGACAGATGACAGGAGTTGCAAGTGAGACTTTATGTGACAGTGGGAGGGAAGTGTCATTGGTAAGCAATGAAAATGTTCCCTACGCCTGCCCTGTGCTGAAGCACAGATGTGGGGATATGAGTGCCTCAAAGTATACAGGAAAAGGCTAAAGGGAGCACTGTCCTCAGGGAAGACCCAGCGGACAGAAGAGGTGCTCTGTGAGGTGGGCAGTGGGGGTAATGCCAGCGTAGTCTTAGAACAGGGGCTCCTCAGGGCCTGAGTAGGATTTTAGGAGGGAGGTAGAGTGTGGCACCCACGGACACAGAAGCCACATACAGCATTGTAAACTTTCTAGAAGCCACAATAACCACATCATTAAACAGTAAAAAGAGACAGTAAAATGGAGTAATTTTAACCCAGGATATCCAAACTAACTGCATTTCCACATGCAATCAATATAAACAGTTACTGAGCTGTCCGACACCCTCTGTTACAAGTTTCTGAAGCTGTTGTGCACTTTACACTGAACAGCACATCTCCATTCTGACCAGTCACACAGCAGTCACACATGGTCAGGGGCCACTTTACAGAATGGAAGAGGTAGACAGGGAAGATGGGCCAGGAGCAAAAAACACAGAACAGTAGAGGAAGAAAGACTGCAGGGTCGTAAGCTTCGGATATTCAGCGAAAATCAGATTATGAAGCACAGTGAAAGTAATGAGCACAGAAGCATCACAAAGAACCGGCAGAGCCACACAGAGGCTCGTTGTGGGGCCTGAGACAGGCGTGGTACATCTAAGTCAGAAAAGTGCCCAGGTCATTTTCTGACGGCTGGGCCACATCTGGACTGGCAGTGTTAAAACTGTAAGGTATTTGAGGGGTCTTTTAGCCCAGGGTCCTCAGCTTTACAGAGGGAGAGCCAACGCCCAGAAAAATAAAGTAGTTTCCAAATGGCCAACGTGCTGCTGTACAGGCAGCCCTCTCATCCTGACTTTTTATCCCAGAGTTGTTCTAAGCATCTTGATCACTGTCTCTAAAAATGGAAACAACTGACATCTAGCACAGAAGAGACACAGAAAAAGCGTTAGCAGAGCTAAGCTGAGGGCAGCATTCCACTATCACACAAAGGCGAAACTCTTACCAAGTCGATGCCATTCTGACCAGCTTTTTCTTACCTTGTGAAAGAAGGCAGCACCTGTCAGCACCATGGACAGCTCACAGGAGTAGTTGGAGTTGTAGAGCCAGGACTGATGGGGGATGTCCCATGCGTGGTAACGGCCAGGGAAGCCCACGATGCGGTCCCGAGCTTCTCTCCACACCCTCAAAAAACACAAGTGCATATGCAGACCTGAGTACAGAGCTTCTAGGGTCATCAGAAGTGTTCACAATTATTGCCTCTACCTTACAAGCTCTGGCTCCTAGGCTTTTACTTCTTTTATCCTTTCAAAATAAAACAAAATAAATAACAAGCCAAACAGGATAAAAGCAAATAAGGTAACATATTCAGCTTCCTTAATAAGCACCTGCGCATTGTCCCTCTAGCAGTCAGCATCCTCCAGCCCTTCCAGAAAGAATAAGCCCTAACTTGGGAAGGGCATCTCCAGAACAGGGTATGCACAATAATCTACTAAGGGGGTTCCCAGAATGGGGTATCCCCAATAATCTACTAAGAGGCAGAAAGATGATATCAATTTCAATTCATTTTTTAGTTTATTTAATTTCCAAGAAAGGGCTGGGCGAAGTGGTTCATGCCTGTAACCTCATCACTTTGGGAGGCTGACGAAGGATTGCTGGAGTTGGTGACCAGCCAGAGCAACATAGCAAGATCCTGTCTCTAAAAAAAAAAATTTTTTTTGTAATTAGCTGGGCATGGTGGAGCACACCTGAACTACTAGCTACTTGAGAGGCTGAGGTGGAAGGACTGCCTAAGCCTAGGAGTTCAAGGCTGCAGTGAGCTATGACTGCACCACTGCACTCAGCCTGAGTAACAGAGCAAGACCTGGCTCTAAAAATGAATGAATGAACAAACAAACATTTTCTAAGAAAGGCTTTGTTTTCTTTTTTCTTTCTTTTTCTTTTTTTTTTTTTTTTTTTTTTGAGATGCAGTCTCACTCTGTGACCAGGCTGGAGTGCAGTGATGCGATCTCAGCTCACTGCAACCTCTGCCTCCCGGGTTCAAGTGATTCTCCTGCCTCAGCCTCCTGAGTAGCTGGGCTGGGACTACAGTTACGCACCACCATGTCCAACTAATTTTTCTATTTTTAGTAGAGATGGGGTTTTACCATGTTGTCCAGAATGGTCTCAATCTCCTGACCTCTGATCCACTTGCCTCAGCCTCCTAAAGTGCTGGGATGACAGGCGTGAGCCACTGTGCCTGGCCAAAAGGCTTTGTTTTCAATGAGCGTGACGTATTAGTTCAGTAGGACATGTATGTAATTTACATATATTGCACACTTCTACTGAGAGGGTACATAATAAAAAGGTTTAGAGACCACTGGTTTAACCACAGACTACTGAACTGCGCCACTCCTAATTCAAAACAAGCAGGGCTGAGGGAGAAACGTGTATCATGAGATGTGATCTACAGAACCACAGAACTGAAAGGTTTCATTAAATGGAAGAAATAAATGGAGAATTCAATATGTTTCAGTAGAAACTTTTATATCATCTCCAAATTTATAGGTAAAGTAGAACAAATAAAATTGGTCCCCAGTTTCCCAGGATAAACTGGAGAACGGAAAGCACTTAAGTTCCACAGAACCCGACAGGCCTGCAGAAGGGCTTCCAGGGATTTAAACTGCCTGCAAACGCCCTCATCACTTACATGCAACTTCATTTCCTAAGACACAGAAGATTTCATTTCAAGAGTTCCTCTCCTAGTAAGTCTGAAAGCATCAAATCTAATCCAACAGAGGAGGAATCCAACTTCTATTGCAACGTAATAGCCTTCTAGGTGGGCTTTTTTTTAGACAAATGATTTTAATTGTGGCGAAATAAACATAAAATGTACCATCTTAATCATTTTCAAATGTACAGTTCAGTGGCATCATGCACATTCACAGTGCTGTGCAACCATCACCCCCATCCATCTCCAGAACTCTTTCATCTTCCCAAATGGAAACTCTGTCCCCATTAAACACTGATCCCTACTCCCACCTTCCCCAGCCCAGCAGCCCCTATTCCACTCTCCGTGTATATGAATGACTACCTAGGGACCTCACATAATGGAACCACAGTATTTCTCCCTCTATGTTGTTTGCACTTCTGTTGTAAATAATGCTGCTCTGGCCATTCGTGTATTCCCTTCTGTATGGATACATGCTCTTAAGTCTATTGGTATACCTTTTCTATCTGTCCCTTACGATTCTATCTGCCTCTTTCTTGGCTACGTAAGTTGAAATGAGTCAAGATCTATCTTTGCCAGAGGAAAGAATTCTCAGACTTACCCTTTCCTTTGAACTTAGGTCTGTTTCATTCCCATTAAGGTGAAATAAGCAACTTGGGGAGATGAATAAGAAAAAGGTTTTAGATCAAAGGATGCCCAAACACATGAGAAAAGAGTCCAGGTGGGAAATGGTTAGGATGTACAGACAGCAATGATGATTCACCAGCTCCATTACCAGAGGCTAAATCTCAAACGCAAATGATGGTTAAGAGACACATTAAAAGGCCTCCCGTTATTCTCTCACCACCTGCAAATCTGTTGGAAAATAGAACAGGCAAGGTCAGAAGCCCCTAAATCAGGGGCTTAGAAGATAGCTAATGCCAAATATGCTAATAAGCTTCAAATTCCTCAAAGCTGGGCTCCTTATCGAAATCATTCTTGGATCTAAGGGTTGGCAGTTCTCCTGTCAACACCCCACGACTCTGCTCACCGCACAGTCCTTTAGCATGCTCCAAACCACATCACGCTGCAACAGAAACACCCCCTACCACCCACCCCCCACCACTACCACCTGCAGCAGCAAAGACCTCACCTGGAGCTACCGCATGACTTTCTTCCTTTCATAAAAACAAGTGGAGAGGGCCAGCTACTTATTATCATCAACAAAGAAATACACCTCGGTTCACCAGGATCTTACCCAATACTATACTGGGCAAGAGGTCAAAGGAAATGTGAGAGGCTGAGGAGGGTAAGAACAGATGGTCTAATTTGTCAGAAATGTGTCAAATCATTCTTTATAGATGGATTTAAGACAGATGAGCAATAAAGCTGCTGTTCCTTTTATTGGAGCATCTGCTCTTACAAGCCTAAGCCAAAGGCAGGGCCAGAACCATGTAGGTCAGGTTAGGCCTTCAGTGAACAGAATGGAAGCACAGAGAAAGAACTCTCTATCCTGGACTCACACTTAATTTAACAAGACCTCCAAAGAAGCCTACTCCAGTGGTTTTGTTTTTGTTTTGTTTTGAGCTCTGTCACTTAGGCTAGACTGCAGTGGCATGATCTTGGCTCACTGCAATCTCCACCTCCCGGGTTCAAGCAATTCTCCTGTCTCAGCCTCCTGAGAAGCTGGGATTACAGGAGCACACCAACACGCCCAGCTACTTTTTAAATTTTTAGTAGAGACAGCGTTTCGCCATGTTGGCTAGGCTGGTCTCGAACTCCTCACCTCAGGTGATCCACTCGCTTCAGCCTCCCAAAGTGCTAGGATTACAGGCATGAACCACCACACCTGGCCTCCAGTGGTTTTCAAACGATATAAGAACTAATTTTTCCCCAAAATTATTATTATTATTATTATTTTTTTGAGACGGAGTTTCACTCATGTTACCCAGGCTGGAGTGCAATGGCGCGATCTCGGCTTACCGCAACCTCTGCCTCCTGGGTTCAGGCAATTCTTCTGCCCCAGCCTCCTGAGTAGCTGGGATTACAGGCACGCACCACCATGCCCAGCTAATTTTTTGTATTTTTAGTAGAGACGGGGTTTCACCATGTTGACCAGGATGGTCTTGATCTCTTGACCTCGTGATCCACCCGATTAATACTTTGGTAAAATACAACAAAAATGAACTGCATGATTTCTTAAATATGACACCTAAAGCACAAGCAACCAAAGAAAACAATTACAGTGAACTTCAAAACATGATCTCTGTGCTTCAAAGGACACCATCAAGAAAGTGAGAAGCTAACGCACAGAAGGGGAGAAAATATGTGCGACTCGTATCTCTGATGAGGAACTTGAATCTAGAATACATAAAGAACTCTTATACCGCGATAATAAAAAGACAATCCAAACAAACATGGGCAAAGAATGTGAAAAGCCATTTCTCCAAAGAAGATATACAAAGACGAAGTGGTCAATAAGCACATAAAAAGATGCTCCACGTCGTTAGAGAAATGCAAATCACAACTGTATGGCTGGGTGCTGTGGCTCAGGCCTATAATCCCACCACTTGGGAGGCTTGCTCGAGGCCAGGAGTTTGAGACCAGCTTGCACAACAAAGTGAGACCCCATCTCTATAAAAAAATTTAAAGATTAGCCAGGTGTGGTGATGTGAGCCTGTAGTCACAGCTACTCAGGAGGATCACTTGAGCCCAGGAGTTCAAGGTTACAGCATGCTAAGATTGCACCACTGCACTCCAGCCTCAGCAACAGTGTGAGATCCTGTCGCTATCAAACTATATATATATATATATATACACACACACACACACACATATATACACACATACACATATATATGCATATACATACACACATGAACATACATACATATATATATATATATATATAAAAAATGAGTTGTCACTTTACAATGACTCGGATGGTTATAGATTTTAAAAACGGAAAATAACAAATGTTGGAAAGTACGTGGAAAAACTAGAAGCTTCATACACTGCTGGTGAGAATGCAATATGGGGCTGCCACCATGCATAACAGTCTGGCAGGCTCAAAATGTTAAAGCAGCTATCATGCTCCAGCCACGTTACTCTTAGGTATACGCTCAAGACAAATGACCTGCTCGTACAAAAACTTGCACATGAAGGTTCACAGCATTATTCATAGTGGCCAAGAAATAGAAATGACCCAAATATCCATCAACAGACAATGAACGAAGAACTGGTACCTGGGTCAGGCTCCATGGCTCATGCCTGTAATCCCAGCACTTTGGGAGGCCGAGGCAGACAGACTGCCTGAGCACAGGAGCTCAAGACCAGCCTGGGCAACCCCATCTCTACTAAAATATAAAAAAAATAATTAGCTGGGCGTGGTGGTCCATGCCTGTAACCTCAGCTACTTGGAGGCTGAGGTGAGAGAATTGCTTGAACCCAGGAGGCAGAGGTTGCAATGAGCTAAGATCATAACACTGCACTGCAGCCCAGGCAACAGAGCAAGACTTCGTCTCAAAAAAAAAAAACAAAACTGGTACCTGCTATAAGATGAACTTTGAAAACATCGTGTTGAGTGAAAGAAGAGAGTCACAAAAGGCCATGCATGGTTTCTATTGATAGAAAAAGTCCAGAATAGGCAAATCTAGAGAGACACAAGGACAGAGTGGCTATCTAGGACTCAGAGGGGTTGGAGAAAAATCAGGAGTAGCTGTTAATAGGTACAGGGTTTCTTTCAGTAGTGATAAAGATTTCTAAAATTAACGATGGTGATGTTTAACACAACTCTGTGAATGTTCTAAAACCACTGAACTGTACATTAAATGAGTAAATTTTACGGTATATGAATTATATTGAAGAAATGTTGCCAAAAAAAGAACTGCAAGAAAAACGATCATATACTTGGATTTCACTTTGTCAAGTTTCTTTAAAAGTTTCTGAATGCTTACCATCAATTTTTGTACTTACCTCACCATAAACAAGCAACAAAACCGACATCACACTCCCTGATACACTTGGAGTGGCCTTCATCTACTCCACCCTCTTCCCTGCAATGACCCTCAAGTGGGATCCTTCAGCAGTTACTAAGACTCAAGAAGGCAGAAGGGTTGAAGGCCAGGTGAAGCTCTGGAGTGTGACAAACATGCCTTTGAACCTACAGCTCTGCCTGCCACTTTCTAGCTTCTACATGGTTCTGTTCCCTTGGATCTCAATTTACTCCTATAGGAAATGGAGACAGATACAATTTACTTCATCAAATTTTAGGAGGATTAATGAGGTAAGACAAAGTCCTCAGCTAGTCCCTGGCACACAGTATAGGTTCAACATATGTTCAGCAGCAGCATCATCATCATCATTACCACCACCTCCTTTTCTTCCTCCCCTTCTTTTTCCTTTTAAATCATTGCTTCCGACGCCTTCCTTCCGCCAAACCTTTTTGGGTCCAGGATGCTGGCACTTTTCCATTGCTCCAACACACAGCAGCAAGTTGCTTCTGCCTGCCTGGGAGTTATTTCCCATTCCTCTAACGACAAAACCCTATTTCCTTTAGAGAACTACCCAATGCCTCTACTCTCTGCCCATGTGGTTTGGGTTTAAGGATGATACACCTGTAGCACCAGGAGCAGGCAGGTAACCATGGTCTAGCCAATCAAAGAATTTCACCTCCCTGGCCACAGAGGAAAGGCCTGTGGGAGCGCAGATCAGAACCTAGAGATGAAGAGAGACAGACTCCTCCAGGGCCATCTACGAGCCTGCATCCAGCCACGTCTTACAACAGCCCTGACTACCTGTAAGGGTTTCTCAGTTACCATCAGCCAAGAAATTCATTTTGCTGCCTAATCTAGGTTTTCTGTCACTTGCGACCTGAAGTGTTTGCTTGGAAATTAGTCTCTCACCGAAAGCCAAACATGATTTCGTCATGGCGGAGGTGAGCATCATCATCGATGGACAGGATGGCCTCGGTCTCAATTTCGTTCCAGGGTAAGAATCGGTTGTTCAAACTGTTCTTCTCAGTGCGGACCACCTGTGACAAGGAAGGAAAAACATTAAAAATTAAAGATGCATTATGGAAGGCAAAACAAAACCTCTATTTAGGTCAAAGAAGACCATGGCTGGATTTACTGAATAATTGTGGATGATCTCCCCACTTGCAAAATCTAGCATAAACGTTTCAGGAATCAAAGCTGCCTTATACTTCAACAAATGTTTACGGATTTACCTTTTAAGCTTCATTCATTTGTTAGCTAATTTTCTTGTGAATCAAGTGAAAGCTGAGGATTATTTTATATATGTAATAAACACGACGTAGGGAAATTAAAAATAACTCTCCCAAGAGAACACAAGGTGGCAGAGTGGATCTGAGATTCCGATTCCTGGCTGTGGAATTCCCAGCATGTGGGTTAATTTTAAAACTGAACCCAGAAACCTCATGAGTCTGTCACTTCTGACTCCCAGTTCTAATGCCTTTTTGGGATATACACCCAAATAAAGAGCACAGCCCATTTTGGTCGAGATTAATTACTTCACCTATGCAATTCCTACCTACAACGCTGACTACGCATACACAAACTTTTTCTTTCTTTTCAAGGTGTCATGAACTCAGCACAACAGCTTCTACATCTTCAGCAAATCCCAATTCAAAAAACATCTAACCTAAGTGATTCAACATATACGCAAAGCAATATTTTCTTCAAAAAACAAAACTTGACGCGTCAAACGGTACAACTACATGACACAAAAATTGTTATTTAACCATCTTAATTTACCCACAATGTGGATGGGTAGCTGTGTTATTTACCTTGCCACCTAATGCTCACATAAACGATGATGACAGTCAGTACTTGGATGCCTCATTTTATTCTTATTTTTATCTAATTAGTCCAACCAATGGGGAACCATTATTTTGTTCTCAAAAGCCAAAAACAGCATCTCACGAAGAATAATCTTTTTAGAATGCCACGAAAGATCACCTTATTTCCAACAGACCATTTTACATGTACTGAGGACAACCTCTACCTGGTATGACAAATTAATTGCACCTGAGGGCTTAAATTTATGAACGGTTTCCAAGGGGCTCTGCGACCTACCAGTTTGTCTCTTCGGCTTCAAATACCTTCTCTTCCATCCTCCCCCTGGAGGCCAGCCAGCTCAGATGCCTCTTGCCACACCCTCCTTACCAGGAAAACCATTTATTCTATGTTCTTAATGCAGACTCCTCATACTTCAATTAATTCATTCTAGCACACTTAGAATCCAATTAATTCAGAGCTAGAAGGGCTTTGGAGATTATAGCATCTAACCTTCACTTTATACATGCAGAAACTGAGGCTCGAATGATATAATACAACTGGCTAATTGCAAGAGCCAGAACTCTAATTCATACCTTTTTTAAAAAACAAAAACAAAAACAAAACTGAGGTCCCCAAGTCTCATCAATATGTTCTCTAGGCTCGTCTTGAACTCCTGAGCTCCAGTGATCCTCCCATCTTGGCCTCACAAAGTTCTAGAATTACAGGCATGTGCCACCACACCTGATCCTAACTCATACCTTCTGATTCCAAATCCAGTCCTTTTCCTGCTAAAGTTTTGCTAACTTTATAAACTTCTTCAAGCCAAAGCCATCATAGGAAATGCTTTTTTTTTTTAAGATAGAGTCTCACTCTGGCCCAGGCTGGAGTGCAGTGGTGCGATCTCGGCTCATTGCAACTTCCACTTCCAGGCTCAAGTGATCCTCCCACCTCAGCTTCCCAAGTAGCTGGAGTTATAAGCAGGTAACACCACACCCAGCTAATTTTTGCATTTTTGTAGAGACAGGGTTTCACCGTATTGCCTAGGCTGGTCTCTAACTCCTGATTTCATGGCATCTGCTTGCCCCAGACTCTCCAAGTGCTGGGAATATAGGCGTGAGTCACCATGACTGGCCTGAAAATGCATTATTATTAATCTGTGTACCATTAAGGAAAAACAATGCTGCCAATTAAGAAAGCATGTGGGCCAGGTCCCATGGCTCACGCCTGTAATCCCAACACTTTCGGAGGCTGAAGCAGGTGGATTACCTGAAGTCGAGAGTTTGAGCCGACTGACCAACATGAAGAAACCCCGTCTCTACTAAAAATACAAAATTAGCCAGGTGTGGTGGCACATGCCTGCAATCCCAGCTACTCAGGAGGCTGAGGCAGGAGAATCACTTGGACCTGGGAGATGGAGGTTGTGTTGAGCCAAGATTGTGCCATTGCATTCCAGCCTGGGCAACAGAAGCGAAACTCCCTATCAAAAAAAAAAAAAAAAAAAAAAAAGAGGGCATGTGAAATTGTCAATCCTTTGTTTACTTTATTACAGAACTTTTATTTTATTTATTTATTTACTTATTAAGAGATGGAGTCTTGAGTTATCACCTAGGCTGGAGCGCAATGGTGCTAGTATAACTCCCTGCAACCTAAAACTCCTGGGCTCAAGTAATCGATCCTCTTGCTTCAGCGTCCCAAGTAGCTGGGAGTACAGGCATGCACCACCACACTTGGCCAATTAAAAAAAAAAATTTGTAGAGACACGGTCTTGCTAAGTGGCCTAGACTGGCCCCAAACTTCTGGTCTCAAGCAATCCTCCTGCCTCAGCCTTCCAAAGAACGTGATGGGATTACAGGCGAGAGCCACTGCTCTTGGCCAGAGCCTTTTTTTAAGACTTCACCTCGGACCCAGAGGAGTTCCTGCCCAACTCAAGACAAAGAAGGATCTGTAAAAGATTCACCACTACGGTTAACGCATGTCCGAGCCAAGCCACAGACCACAAAATCCACCTTGCCCTGCAGCATGTATGACCAACATAAAAACCCCTGAGTGTACAGCGAAGGGCGTCCTAAGCTCAGACTCCACAGTGACAGAACGAAGGACTGAGTGAGGCCTCGGTCACACAAAAGAGAGCGACAAGGAGAGGAAACGCCAAGTGCTCACCTTACTAACTGACGGCTCCACTCGCCACAGGGCAAGAGAGTGGCCAGAAGGGGCCAGACTTGATGGCAAGCTCGGTGATGGTAAGAGGCCATCCAATGTAAGACACGTCTCAATTTCAGAGATGACAAAATGTAAAATAAGGTCCACCTTGGAAAGGACAGCATTTGGTAGATGTTCATAAACACCCTCAACAAACTACCCCCATCGTTCATTTTACCTTCCTAACACACCTAGCATTCACTCAGTACAGAACTGTGATTCTGCCACTTCAGCTGAACAAAGCTCCCCCTCACATGCAGCAGTGAACACACACAGCTTAAAATGAAGAAAAACTACTTGAAAATGTCAATTCTTGAATATTTGCTTGTAGATGATCAGTTTTGTGGGTTAACCTTCAGAAGGATTATCTACAGCACAATTAGTAAACCAGGAATCTAGTAAGGAGCCTCAATGTTCAAAGTGTGAAGACCAGCAGCACACATGGGGGCTGGAGGGGTGCAGGGGGACAGACCCACCCCAAGCCCATCTTAACATGCCCCCAGGGGATTCCTGTGCACATTGAATCAGGAGAAGCACGAGTACAGTGGGAGACAGCATGGCTTTGGAGCCAATCAGAAAAGCCTGGGTTCAAATTCCAACTCCTCCGCTTACTAGATGTGTGAATCTAAGTACCCTCTCTGCTAAATCAACATACCACCCTGTTGTTTGCAAAATCTGAGGTTACTTATCAGCCAAACTTGACCATACTAGAAACAACCTAACTCTGCACCTAAAAGTGAAACCCAAGAAAAACTAAAATGATCATGATTTGATACCTAGATCATATCCAAAATTATCTAATTTACAAACAACCAAATCAGGAGAAGCTACTTGGGCTTTGGAAGACTTAGGTAGGATCATGGAGCCAGAGGTCAAATATCCAAGTGTTTTGGCCTAGATTTCACACCAGTTTTTTTAGTAAGTTTATTAAAGTCCATTACTTGGATATCAAGAAGCAACAAGAGAACAACTACTAAGGACTCCAGGAACACAGGGCACCTGCCACCTCTGCCCACCCTCTGAGCACAACTGCTCTGGTCTGGATGACAACAGCTATTCAGGTATAGCAAACTGAATTTTAGCAATCAGAATAAATGGGCCAGGCATGGTGGCTCATGCCTATAACCCCAGCACTTTGGGGGAGGCTGAGGCAAGCAGATCACCTCAAGTCAAGAGTTCAAGAACAGGCTGGCCAACATGGCAAAACCCTGTATCTACTAAAAATAATTTTTTAAAAATCTAGCCAGGTGTGGTGGAGGGCACCTGTAGTCCCAGCTACTCGGGAGGTTGAGGCAGGAGAATCTCTTGAACCTGGGAGGTAGAGGTTACGGTGAGCCAAGATGGTGCCACCGCACTCCAGGCTGGGCAACAGTAAGACTCCATCTCAAAAAAAAAAGAAAAGCTGTTAAAGATTCACAGAAACACAACACCAAGCACTACAGTTTATTTGTGGTTAGCTGACAAGCAACTGCAATAAGTCGGCTTTAAGAATTTAGAGCAGCCGGGCGCGGTGGCTCAAGCCTGTAATCCCAGCACTTTGGGAGGCCGAGGCGGGTGGATCACGAGGTCAAGAGATCGAGACCATCCTGGTCAACACGGTGAAACCCCGTCTCTACTAAAAATACAAAACATTAGCTGGGCATGGTGGCATGTGC